CTCCGGTGAGGGCCTGCGGCTAGGGTTTTTGTGGTCAGGTGTGAGGGTTCTATTTATACCCTTTTGCCTTTTGATCGCCGCCGTCCATTATGATTAGAGAGGGCCCGTCATGTTTTGATTGAATCTGGGCCCTCCGGGCACGTGCATCTGGGCCGTCCGTGCGCGCGGGGACGCATTTGGGCCGTCCGATCGCGTGCACGCGGATCGCCAACGTGGCCCGTCCCCGGGTCGACGTGGTCTTGGCACGCGGCAGGTCCTGGTTGGCCAGGGCTGCTGACTGGGCCGTTGACGTGGCTGTTGACGTGACGCTCTTTTTTTTTTTAAATTAAACTTAATAAATAAAATTAATAATAAAATCACAAAAATGCCCAATTGTTTGGGCGTTACATTAAAAATTAATAATAATAATAAAAAAATGATAAAATTAATGGGTATTAGAAAATATATTTAAGAATTTAAATTATATATAAAATTATAAAATATTTATAAGTAATTTTTATCTAACAAATATAATTTATTAGTTGATAAGACTAAATAATGATTTTACAGGAAATAATCCTCTATTGATTTTTAGTTAAGTGATTGGATATTTTTATAATAAAAATAAAATATTGTGTCTCAAAGATTTGACATGTAATTATAATAATTATATAAATTATATTTTATTAATTTAAATTTTTAATAAACTATTAATAAAAATGAGATAATTTATAAATATATAATTGTTATACAAAATAATTCATAAAAAAATAAAACAAAGTTGGAAAGTATTCATTAATGTGTTTAAGTTTGGGATCATTAATTGGGTGGATATTATAATATATTTTCGATTTTACAATGATCCAAAAATATTACCATTACCAATTATGAATGTTGAATATTACAACATTCAATTCGGTTTGGTTGTAAATCCTAGTGGATCAAAATTTGAAAAATAAATAAATAAATAAATATACAATTTAATTATTATTATTTTAATTTTAAATATTATAAATATACATTAACTATATATATTATATATTTTAATATTTCATTTACATAACATATAATATATATACTATTTTTATTTTTAATATTAAAAAGATTAATTGATTTGAACCATCGAGATCCAAAATAAACTGAACAATTCAATTAAAAAAAAATTTATATTGAAGAATGAATTAAATAGTATTTAATCTAATTTGATTTATAATGAAGTTGCTTGTCCAATCCGATTTTTTTTTTTATTCATATTAATGAAAGTCATTCATAAAAATATATATGATTTAATTCTAAAAATGTAAACTTTATTATAAAAATAATAATAAATTTATATCAAATTGTTGGAATACTGCTAGAAATTTCACGGAGTTTAACTCTTATTATATTAATCCATAATTATTTGTATTAGAAAGAAGAGACTTATGGAAGTTTTTTATGGACTAAAATGAAAATTCTTTTATTCTTTTCACGATTTAATAAATAAATAAAAAGTCACTTATTGTTAATATTAATTCGATATATAAAGTACTACCAATAAAAATTATTATTGCATATCTCACTCTTAACTCAAATTATGTATAAATTTCTAAATAAATTATACAAAAATTTTTATTTAGTCCTAAACATAATCTTAATTTAAAAAAGAAAATTGTTGATAATTGAATGACTCTATTCAAGCTCAAGTGTAAAAACTATAATGTATAAATAAATATTCAGTGAATTTTCTAAACATTATCTTGAATAGACAAGTTAATTCGATAATTGGAATTTAAATCCTCAACTATAATCAATATGTGTGCGCATCATCATCCTAATCCTAATTCTAATTCCTAAACCCTTCAAATTCAAACTATAAGCTTGTATTATCTAACAAAAAATGAACAAATATAAACAATGGTGTATCTGTCGTACCTATGAGAAAAGTTAGAAACTTTTTTTTGTTTTGTTAGAGTCATGACTCACGCTTGGTTGGATGTATCATCTTTCTGAATTTAACTAATTAACTTCATTATTTTCTAAGAAAAAAAAATCTAATTAATGTTGTAATTTAATCATAATTGTAATTACTGATGTAGTATAGAAATATTTGAGCCGTCAACATGAGGAAAAATGAAAAGGATGAAAATTACTGATGTACAAAAAAGAGAAAATTACTGATGTACAAAAAAGAGTCAAGACTGATATTTAGGAGATTGAAAGATCAGTAAAAATATTACCTTTTTGTAAACTTGATGGTATTTACAGAGCTTAACAATATGAAATACATGCCAAATATAGAGCAAATGTTGCTAGCTTAGAAGATTCTGTAAAAAGCTAGGAGATTTTGACACTCTAGAAAGTATATAAATATCGGATTACTAATATGCTTTCTGATTTTAAAGAGACAGAATCGATGATGATATAATCTTCTAACCAACAAACAATGATGATTGGTTCGGAATCGCCTGGAGTTTTTGGTTCACTCAATGCCTCTTACCTGAACCCTAGCAAGAGAGAAGAGGGGGAGGGAGGATCTTCCAGCAAGGATGGGAGAATAGTCCGATATCTACAACTTCGATGGAGAGTTTGGTCGATCATTTTCTGAGATAGTTAATCTGATAATGGATGCACTCACTCCCTAGCTATGGTACAACAACAGTAAGAGGTGCAAACTTTAATCATGTCCAACTCTCAAAATGTTCTCCCACAAATTTTACCTTTCTAAAAATCTAACATAGACTGTGCTACTATGCTAGTAATATCAAGCATTCCAAGTATGAGATAACTGCAGTAATCCTGAGTTCAAAGATTGATATACATAAAAAATTGCATGTAAGATCTTCAGGGAGTTTGTTAATTACAAAAGGCAAGCAATAAGATAAAACTTAGATACTAGATGCAGCAAATATGTTGTGTATTGGTGTCATCAAATAAATGAATGCATATGCGTCAATCATGTCGAACCCCTGAAGAGATAAGCTGTCTCAGAGCACAAATTAATCAAACAACCTTATGTATAGCACACTACACTAATCTTATATAGATTTCATTATGTACATAGACACAATACCAAAAGCTCACTTACACATACTACTGAACAAATTAAAAGCATCTGACGCAATCAGAGATCATGGAAAAGACACCTAAAAGAACTCGCGATCAGGGAAAAGCAGAGGCACAACAAGAGTCCACATGTAAAGCCCAGCAGTGACCCATTCTGTGCCGATCCGAACCCAAACTGATGTCCATCCCACATCAATCAGGTCCGAGTTCTTGGAAGAGTTTGTCCATCCAGACAGTAACATTGCTGAATACATACTAGCGAGGGCAAATATAACGTGGAAAAACGAGTACGAATAACTGACCGGTCGAGCTTCTGTTCCTTTTTTCTTCTCGTTTCCTTCTACATCTTCACCTTCAAGCAGGGGTTTCGACCCACCTGTAAAATAAGATGGCAAACATCAGACAAACACACAAATGAGGAAACAATAATATACATGCATGAATCATAATCTGGGTTTTTGCTATTGAATGTTGTGAGGAATTTGGAAGTCTTTTCAGATAAAGGGGAAAAAAAAACTGAGTAGCTTCCTTCTGTCAATTACTTGCATCTCCTAAGGACAACCAGGTAATTTTATTGAAAGGACATCTCTGAACTTTACCCACTGTTTTAATGTAACTATAAAAAATGAAGAGCTTTGCATATGATGCAAACAGGACGTCACAAACTCATTCCTAATAAAATGGTCT